CTCACCTCAGCCTCCCAAAGTGCTGGGATTACATTTGTGAGTGCCCACGCCTGGCCTCTCAGTTTTTGTTTTATTTTTTGGTATATATATATTTTTGAGACAAAGTCTTCACTCTGTTGCCCAGGCTAGAGTGCAGTGGCATGATCTTGGCTCACTGCAACCTCCACCTCCCAGGTTCAAGCGATTCTCCTTCCTCAGCCTCCCGAGTAGCTGGGACTATAGGCATGTGCCACCATGCCTGGCTAATTTTTTGTATTTTTAGTAGGGATAAGGTTTCACCATGTTAGCCAGGATGGTCTCCATCTCCTGACCTCACAAGCCTGCCTCGGCCTCCCAAAGTGCTAGAATTACAGGCATGGGCCACCGTGCCCCTGGCCAGTATTTTTTTTTACGATGTCCCTTGGTGAAAAGAAATATCTAGGTCCAAACAACTTACTAAGTATTTATGCTCTAATAATTTAGTAGCCATAAAAAATACATGCAAATTAAAAGGAAAACAATGTTTTTCATTCTTAAACAACCACACTTACTTACTAACGGGATGTGTGCACCTGTTGGGCACATACTTCTCAAACCTTGGAATTAGACTGGGCAAGGCCACCCTCATTTCCTGTTCCACATTGATTTTCGCAGTGTACTCACTTTCCCTTTTTTTTTTTCTTTTTTTTTGAGACAGAGTCTGGCTCTGTCGCCCAGGCAGGTGTGCAGTGGCGCGATCTCGGCTCATTGCAAGCTCTGCCTCCCGGATTCATGCCATTCTCCTGTCTCAGCCGCCTGAGTACAGACGCCCGCCACCATGCCCAGCTAATTTTTTGTATTTTTTAGTAGAGACGAGGTTTCACCTCTATTAGCCAGAATGGTCTCGATCTCCTGACCTTGTGATTCGCCCGCCTCCACCTCCCAGAGTGCTGGGATTACAGGCGTGAGCCACCGCGCCCGGCCCAGTGTACTCACTTTCCATCACAACCAACTGGAAAGCCCAGATGCCCCAAGGTATGACATAGACAAGGAATTTGGCGCCATCTATTGTTGAAACTGTAAACAACCTAGTAGCTAGTAGTTTTGCACAGTCGTTTAGATTTCATTTTGTTTGCCTTGAAAATTTAGAATGCAAGCTATTCCACAGATATCCCCCTGTGGATTTACTGTGGGAATGTGAGGTACCTCAGTGCACAGTTTGATTCAAACAACAGGATTTTATAATACTGCTGTATAAATACTGCATTTTCTGATTTTGATAAATTACTGTTGCCATGTAGAAGAAAGTCCTTCTGAGGAAACACACATTTAATTATTTATGGATAAAGAAACATGCTGGCTGGGCGCACTGGCTCATGCCTATAATCTCAGCACTTTGGAAGGCTGAGGCAGGAGGACCGCTTGAACCCAGGAGTTCAAAACCAGCCTGGGTGACATAGTGAGACTCCTCTAAAAAAATGAAATATATATATACACACATATTTATATATATATACCCATATACATAATATATACACATATGCATATATTATCCACTATATATATGTGTACATATTATATATGTGTTTATATATATTTCTGAACAATTCTCCTGCCTCAGCCTCCCAAGTCACTGGGATTACAGGTGTGTGCCACCACATCTACTAATTTTTGTATTTTCAGTAGAGATGGGGTTTCACCATGTTGGCAAGGCTGGTCTCGAACTCCTGACCGCAAGTGATCTACCCGTCTTGGCATCCCAAAGTGCTGGGATTGTAGGTGTGAGCCACCGAGCTGGGTCTGTGTTTGTTCATATCTATCTATCTATCTATCTATCTATCTATTAAAATGTCTGCAAATAAACCTCAAACTACTCAGAAAAATGTGAGTATACATGTACATATAGACAGCACAAGTGATAGAAAAAATGGGACAAAATGTTAACAATTTATGAATTTGGATAAAGGGTAGACAAGATTTTTTTGGTACCATTCTTGAAACTTTTCTGTGTAAAAATATTTCAAAATAGTTTTGAAAGATGAAAGGCAATACTACCTTTTAAGGTATATATTCATACATAGTAAAACAATTTTAAATGCCTGGAAATTAAAGCAGCATTCAGATTGTTGCAACTGTTTGTTGAGAGTGAAGAGGGATGTATTGGGAAAGGCTATGCACAGTATCAGTGATGTTTTCTTTTTTCATTTATTTATTTTTAGACAGGGTCCAACTTTGTTGCCCAGGCTAGAGGGCAATGGCACGATCATAGCTCACTGCAGCCTCAACCTCCCAGGATCAGGTGATTCTCCCACCTCAGCCTCCTGAGTGGCTGGGACTACAGGCTTGGGCCACCACACAGCTAATTTTTTTTTTTGTAGAGACAGGGTTCTGCTATGTTGCCCAGGCTGATCTTGAACTCCTGGGCTCAAATGATCCACTGGGCCTTGGCCTCCCAAGGTGCTGGGATTATGGGCATGGGCTACCATGCCCAGTGGTGATATTGTATTTCTTAGACTGGGTGGGGGATACATGGCTATTCATTCCATTATACTTCATACCTTTAAGTATGTCCAAAATATTTCATAATTTCCTTTCTAAAAATACACATTGCCGGGCGCGGTGGCTCAAGCCTGTAATCCCAGCACTTTGGGAGGCTGAGACGGGCGGATCACGAGGTCAGGAGATCGAGACCATCCTGGCTAACACGGTGAAACCCTGTCTCCACTAAAAAATACAAAAAAAAAAAAAAACTAGCCGGGCAAAGTGGTGGGCGCCTGTAGTCCCAGCTACTCGGGAGGCTGACGCAGGAGAATGGCGTAAACCTGGGAGACGGAGCTTGCAGTGAGCTGAGATGCGGCCACCGCACTCCAGCCTGGGTGTCCGAGCGAGAGTCCCTCTCAAAAAAAAAAAAAAAAGAAGAAAAAAAATACACATTAAAAAGATGTAGGATTTTTCTTAATACATAAAAAAAAGTATGAGCTAATGAGAGCATGTAGCTGCTGTATGCTGGGGACTACTACGTACTTCGTGTGCATTATCTCCTACAATCCTTATCACCACCTCATGCCTACAACACATGCCAACATTAAGTGTATCGGGCTGGCTCCAGAATGCATGCTCGCACCATACCTCCCAGGTTCATACTATGGAAAGAACAGCTAACTTGTGCTCATTTTTATTTTTTTTATATTCAAAGAGTGGGGGAAAAAAACAACTTTCTTGCTCTTTCAATTCCAAACTAATTTAATACATACAGTAGAAAATGTAGCTATATATAATAAAATGTCAAAAGCATCAATATGGGCTGGACACTGTGGCTCATGCCTGTAATCCCAGCACTTTGGGAGGCCAAGGCAGGCGGGTCACCTGAGGTCAGGAGTTCGAGACCAGCCTGGCCAAAATGGAGAAACCCCATGTCTACTAAAAACACAAAAATTAGCTGGGCATGGTGGTAGGCACCTGTAATCCCAGCTACTGAGGTGGCTGAGGCAGGAGAATCGCTTGAACCTGGGAGGTGGAGGTTGCAGTGAGCAGAGATTATGCCACTGGACTCTAGCCTGGGCAGAAAGAGTGACACTGTCTCAAAACAAAAACAAAAAGAAACCCATCAATATGAAAAAAATAGTAATCAATTTTAATCTCTGGCATGTTTTACTGCTTAGTCTCAACAGTACCACACTTAAATCAGTCGTTAAACAGCTGAAGATTTGACATTTTACAATTATTCTTCCACAATACCAGTTACCCTATTACAGGGCCAAAGATGAACTGCCGAAGAAATCAGATGTTTAGCAGTTTGATTTATTAAATCATACTGAGAAGTTAGCATGTGGATTCTTTTACGCTTTAAAACTATCCAAATTCTAACCAGGACTTATGTTTCATATTTGTAAATAATTTTAGAAGCTTCAGTGAATTAAGTTATATTATTTGATTATCAAAACAATCCAGAATAAACGTCTTAAAAAAACTTAATGTTTAAAAAATACATTTTAAAATTAAAATGTCGAAAATCTGACTTTACTATGAAATGTTGAGCCTTTGTTCATTGCCTTCCCGTAATGCACTTCCCTTAAGATGTTTAAAGTTAGGTGAGAAAAGAAGGAATACTTTGTAATATACAAGGAAATTGGCAGCCATTCTTTTTCAGGGCACTATAATCATTGTCAAGTTCTATTTATCTTCTGTAACTGAAGATATTGACTGAAAAAATAAATTACCATTCCTCTCAGACTGACTTTTATTCAAGCAGCTGCTTTTCTCATCTGCTGGAACGTAGCAGAAAGGTGGTTATCTTAGGACTCTTTATTCTTCCACTGTTACATTGTCAGCTAAAGGGAAGGGGAGAGCAGACCTCGAGGTCACGTTCGAAGTGAAGAGCTGGGAGCTGAGGAAACTGACGTCCACAGCTCCAGCATGGCTTAGCGTTAACACCTGCAGCAGGCCGAGCCTTTCTCACACAGAGGAGTCAACAAATCCATCAGATCTCTGTAATAGGAGGGCCAAGACTAAACACTCTTGCCTTGACTCCAAATAGACAACTCCATTTAAAATGAAAAGCGATAGGAACCAGATTCAGAATCGCTTCCCGCCTTGCCCAAGGCCCTCTTCCAGAACCAGGGTTCCGACCTCCCCACTTTCCTGACTCTGGGGTCCGCCTCTCGGAGATCTCGAGCAAGGGGAACATAATATTGGAGGGGGAAGAGGAGCAGCAGACCGGTCCATGGAACCGAAGAAAAATCCAGGAAAAAACCAAACCAAACAAAAAACAAAACACTCCCCAAAGGACCAGATACTACCAGACCTGCCCTGAAGAGCCAATACATTTCCACCACTCGGCTGCGAAAGCAACAAACGCCTCCTGTCCGGGCGTCCCTGAAAACAAGGCCGCGCTCACCTCGAAGGGTAAACCCAACCGCCCCCCAACGCCCCCTTCCCGTCAGGGGACGCGGCCCCAGAGACCCGGTAACCCCGGCCGCGTATCCAGGGCCTGCAGATGACGTCAGCAGCCCCGCGCTAGCATCGCGAGACTCCCGCCTCCCTCTCCCGGCTCCCCGCGCTCTCAACCGCCCGCGCCTGCTGCCAGGCAGCGGCTGGGATGGCAAGCAGCGGAGGCGAGGCGGTGACGAGAGCAGCGGGTCCGCCATTGGACGAGGAGGCCTGAGGGACGGGCCAGCGGTGCACAAGGAGAGACCGAGGCGGGTGGCCCCGAGAGAACCAAGGCCATGGAGGCCAACATGCCGAAGCGGAAGGAGCCCGGCAGGTCTCTCCGCATCAAAGTCATCTCCATGGGCAACGCCGAAGTGGGGAAAGTGAGTACTGCGCGCCGGGAGGGGCGGGCCCCAGCCTGGCGGGGCGACGTGCCCATTGGCTGGAAGGGCGGCCACTCAACGGCCTGGGGCCCGGCCTCCTCTCCGCCCCCGAGCAGGCCCGGGTCTCCGCCGAGGGGTGCGGCTCCGCGAGCGAAGCTCCCCGACCTTTTTGACCTTTGCGTTGCCCCCTCGTCCTCCGACGTCACTCTCCCGGAGATGGAGTCTGGGGTGGCCTCTAGGCCTTGAATATGTCCCCAAAAGAGTAAGGAGGCCTGGGTCCCCATGTGGGGCCGTCGGCCTAGTTGCCTTGCCCGCGTTCTAGGGGGCTGTCCGGGACCAGGAGGTGGAGGATGAAAGTTTAGTTCCCCCAGCCGGGCCTGGGAGTTGGCGGAACATCATGGGGTGCGTGTGAGAATTTGGGGTTCGCGAAATGGTGCCCGGCAGCCCAGATTCTGCATTCCCGTCACGAGAGAGTGTAACTGACGTTGACGTGTTTCACAGGGCAGGTGCCAGGGATGGCCGGGGTCCGGCGCTGTTTTGTTTTGCGTTGTGTTTTATTTCTGGTTGTGTTCCCATATCTATTAGTTCCACCGCCCTTCTCTGCCCCATCTATGGTTCACCAGCTATAAACTCTTCTTTAGTATGCGGGAAGGTAAGGCCAGAGGTAACCTGAGGCCTTTTCCCTGACGAATTCCAAGACGGCCTTCTCTTCACCCAAATTATTTCCTTCTGGGCAAGTGGAAGCTGTTGGTTAAGAACTTCCCAACGACATCAAATCAATGACCGAGAAAAGATTAGAACCTAAGTTTTCACATTCCCACTGCGGTGCTCTTTCCATCGTTGTCAAAATCAACTCCGAAAGAGCTGTTAAGGCAGTGCTTAGGCCAGCGCCTGGCACCCAGGAGATGTTCAGTAAATGTTTACTTAGTGTTTTTTATTTCTACGTAGCATGATCCTGTACTGCCTGTGTGTGTATGTGCTAGCATAGTATTCACTGAAAGTCAACATTTTTTTGAACGTCAGCTGTGTACGTGCGAGGTTTTTTGTTTGTTTTTTTTAAGCCTCTAGGGACCGCGCACGGTAGCTCAGGCCTGTAATCCCAGCACTTTGGGAGGCCGAGGCGGGCGGATCACTTGAGGTCAGCAGTTCAAGACCAGCATGACCAACAAGGTGAAACCCCATCTCTACTAAAAATGCAAAATTAGCCAGGCATGGTGGTACACGCCTTTAATCCCAGCTACTTGGGAGGCTGACGCAGGAGAATCGCTTAAACCTGGGAGACAGAGGGTGCAGTGGGCCAAGATCGCACCATTGCACTCCAGCCTGGGCGGCAGTAAGACTGTCTCAAAAAAAAAAAAAAAAAAAGTTATTTATTGTGTCTAATGATGCAACATTAGAAGCAGCTCAGAATGCCTGGTGTCACCACATCTATTTAACATTTTTCTAGTTTTATTAGCCAGTGCAATTAGACAAGAGTAAGAAAATACAAAAATATTAGAAAAGAGAAGGTAAAATTAACATTATTTGCTAATAATGCGATTGTTTACCTGGAAACCTAAAGAGAATTAACTGAAAAACTATTAGAAACATGAAAATTCAATAAAGCAAATACCCACAAATTAATAACTTTATTATGTCCAAATTATATTCAGAATTATATTGGAATTACACATTCCAAATGTGTAATTGAAAAACAATTTTAATTTACAGTTACAACAAAAACAAAGTGCCTAGGTTTAAACTTAACATGAAGTAGGCAGCACCTATATGAAGACAAGTTTCAAACTCTACGAAGAGACATAAATTACTTAGGCAAATGGAAACATATACTTTTTCCTTAGATAGGATTATGCAATATTTTATAGATGTGAATTACTCAACCTACAAATGAAATTCAATTCCAGTGAAAACATCAATAAGGGTTTTTTTTGTTTGTTTGTTTGTTTTTTTCCAGAGCATAATACAAGACTACTAAAGTCTTTTTGAAAAATTAATGTGAAAACAACAAAGAAAATTTTTTGGGAAAAAAAGAGAAATGAGAGAAGACTAACTGTTATCAGCCTTGTTAAAATATTTTTCAGGTCGGGCACAGTGGCTAACGCCTGTAATTCTAGCACTTTGGGAGGCCAAGGCAGGCGGATTGCCTGAGCTCAGGAGTTTGAGACCAGCCTGGGCAACACGGTGAAACCCCATCTCCACTAAAATACAAAAAATTAGCCAGGCATGGTGGCACATGCCTGTAGTCCCAGCTACTTGGGAGGCTGAGGCAGGAGAATTGCTTGAACCTGGGAGGCGGAGGTTGCAGTGAGCTGAGATCTTGCCACTGCACTCCAGCTTGGAGACAGAGTGAGACTGTCTCTAAAAAGAAAAAAATTTTTTTATTCACAGTGATGATGGCTTTTCAACGTTCACAATTTCCACCAGAAAGGTTTTCCTTAGTGTTGGGTAAACCTTCCTTGGATGTCTGTGAGAGCTTTTTGCATGCATTCCCATATTGGTTTCTGTGATGTATAAAAGTAGACTCCCATGTTACAAATAGGAAACTATGCCGTGATACCTGAGTCTTGACATCATCACATTCACATGTTTGGTGTTGGAAGTTAAAACATGATTCCCTTTTCAAGTGTGGTTCTTGAGAGACTCAAGTACGTTTTGTGACAGGCAGTAGCATCTTAAGAATTCTTAAGTCCAAGAAGGGACTTGCTCCTGATCTTCCTGAAGATCCCTACCATTTAATTAAGAAGTAGTTGTTGTTTGAAAGTATCTTGAACAGAAAGAATATAAGGATGCTAAATTCCGTCTGATTCTGATAGAGAGCCAGAGTCACCCTTTGGCTCAATATTGTAAGATCGGCCGTTCGCGGTGGCTCAAGCCTGTAATCCCAGCACTTAGGGAGGCCGAGACGGGCGGATCACGAGGTCAGGAGATCGAGACCATCCTGGCTAACACGGTGAAACCCCGTCTCTACTAAAAATACAAAAAACTAGCCGGGCGAGGTGGCGGGCGCCTGTAGTCCCAGCTACTCCGGAGGCTGAGGCAGGAGAATGGCGTGAACCCGGGAGGCGGAGCTTGCAGTGAGCTGAGATCCGGCCACTGCACTCCAGCCCGGGCTACAGAGCAAGACTCCGTCTCAAAAAAAAAAAAAATATTGTAAGATCAAGTGAGTCCTCCCTCCCAATTGGAAATAAGTGATCTGCAGCCTCTGTCCTGGTCACATAAATTTGTCTATGTACTCAAGCAATGAAATGATTGTGTAATTTAAAAAAAAATTTTTTTTCAAGCTACCAAACTTTTCCCATTGGTATTGGGAAGGAAAATGGAGACATCAGTGGAACAGAGTAGAGTCCAGTAATAAACACAAATACATAAGGAAATTCAATTTACAACAAATGTAGTAAAAGTATGGGAAAATAGAGACCATTTAGTAAATATTGCTGGAACAACTATGTACTATTTGAGAGTAGGTTCGATTCCTATTACATTCCTTTCTCAAAAATAAATTCTAGGCTGGGCACGGTGGCTCATGCCTGTAATTCCAACACTTTGGGAGGCTGAGGCGGGCAGATCACGAGGTCAGGAGATCGAGACCATCCTGGCCAACATGGTGAAACCCCATCTCTCCTAAAAATATATATATAAATAAATTCTAGATGGATAAAAGTTTTAAGTGTAACTTTTTAAAGAACTTATTATTTTGCCTTAGTAGGAAAAGTAACACATACTCATTTTAAAGCATTTGGAAAATATAGGATGATATACAGGTAAAGCATTTTAAAGTTAAAAATTAAGGAATGCCTTAGTAATTAATCATTGGCTCAAACAGCAAATCAAAACAAATGACAAAGTAACTAGCTAGCAATGAAAAGGAGGGAATATTTGTGTATCACAGACTATTGTGCAACCATAAAAAAGTGAGTAGATCTATTTTAAAGTTAACTTGGGAACCATAATTTGTTATTGCTAAGAGAGAAAAGCAAACTCTAAAAGTACGTGCAATACTCTATGAAGTGAGTACTTTTTACTGCAAGTAGGACAAACCCAATTCAACTGATTTAACAGGAAATTTTTTTTTTCTCTTTTTGAGACAGCGTCTCCCTCTGCCACCCAGGCTGGAGTGCAGTGGCACCATCGTGGTTCACTGCAGCCTCTCCTCCTAGGCTCAAAAAAAAAAAAAAAAAAAAAAAAAGGAACTAATCTAATAGATATTTGGAGATGTGGATCTCATCTTGGCAGTGAGGTCAAGGCTAGACAGGTATCATTGAAAGCGTAAGAATAGAAGACATCTTCAAAAGAAAAGAGCACAGGATTGAGAACTCAACTGAAAACATATGCGTATTTAGTAATAAGGGAAGAATTTAAAAATAATTTTTCTTAAAATCTTTTAACACTTGTTTCAGTTATCTTATAGTTTTGTCTTTTTTTTTTTTTTTTTTAGGACAGAGTTCACTTTTACCACCCAGGCTGGAGTGCAATGGCAGCAATCTCAGCTCACTGCAACCTCCGCCTCCCAGGTTTACACAATTCTCCTGCCTTAGCCTCCCGAGTAGCTGGGATTACAGGTGCCTGCCACCATGCCTGGCTAATTTTTATATCTTTGTAGAGAGGGTTTTTGCCATGTTGGCCAGGCTAATCCTGAACTCGTGACCTCAGGTGATCCGCCCTCCTCAGCCTCTGAAAGTGCTGAGATTACAGGTGTGAGCCACCACGCCACACCACTTTTGTCTTTTGAAAATGCTTTTACATGGTGGTGAATGGAGGAACTATAATGAAGAAATATACTTATTATGTGTGTGTTCTCACTGTATATTTACTAAATGCCTGTATTTTTTACCTTTTTAGAGCTGTATTATAAAGCGATACTGTGAGAAAAGATTCGTGTCTAAATACCTGGCAACAATTGGAATTGACTATGGAGTTACAAAGTAAGTATATTGTTCCCCTGGGTTTGTAAGTTACATAGAAGTTCAGAACTTTCCAAAGTGATCTACATTTGCATCAGTGCACTTGTGTAGGTAATCTTGAAATGGAGACTTTGCAGATAAGTTGGGAAAGATGGGAATAGGAGACCTTTAAAGGTATCTAGTGATCATATCATTCATTCAGCCCATGTATTGGTATTGAGCGCATCCAGTTCGCCAGGCCTCATGTTAGGTGTAGGCTACAATGATGAAGATGTCAACACGAAGCCTAAATGGCAGGTGTAACTTTCCAGGAAACATGTTTTTATATTAGCAGTTCCTTCTAGCAGGTGTGTTTTTAGAGCATTTTGAAATATTCTCTCTAAAAAGTCTATAAATACTGTGTGAAACATTTTCTACCAGATAACTTTTTTTATTGGTTTATGATCTTCATAGCTATTAGAATCCAGCAAAAATGGGCCAGACACGGTGGCTCACACCTGTAATCCCAGCACTTTGGGAGGCCGAGGTGGGTGGATCACGAGGTCAGGAGTTCAAGACCAGCCTGACCAACATAGTGAAACCCTATCTCTAAGAAAAATACAAAAATTAGCCAGGTGTGGTAGCACACATCTGTAGTCCCAGCTACTCAAGAGCCTGAGGCAGGAGAATCACTTGAACCTGGGAGGCAGAGGTTGCAGTGAGCCGAGACCGTGCCATTGCACTCCAGCCTGGGCAACAGTGAGACTCCATCCCAAAAAAAGAAAAAAAAAATGAACAGGTAAAAGTAAAGTTGGGTCTAATTGGGGATTTATCTGGCGATGAGTCAGGAGGGGGTTGAGCTTGAAGAGTTGGATGTAATTAGCAGGAAATAGCCATACAGTAGAATTGGAGTAGGTAGCGTACTCCCTAAACATGAAATTTCAGGTGTTCACTGTCTTGGCCCCATTCTGGCCTTCCCCCTTTTCTCTCTTCCATTACACACTTTACTTTCCATCCACACTGAACTGCTACCCTCAGACTTTCTACCTCAGCATCATTATGCAGCCTGTCCACTTGGAACACCTCTGCCAGTTTCTCTGAGATATAAACATTCTCCTGTTCCCGTAAGGTCTTCTAAACATGCCCTTTATTGGTCAGTACTCTTTTTGGTTGCAAATAACAGAAATCCTAAACTTCTCTATGCTATTTATGGTACTTACCAAAAATTGTCTTGTATTGTTATTATTTGTATATGTTTAATGTCTCCTTCTAGATTATAAACTCCCTGAAAATGTATTAGTATAAATTTTCTCCAAGTGCCTGGCATAGTGCTTATACCTAATAGGTACTCAACAAATATTTATTGTTAGGTAAGATAGATACATCTAAAGAGGAAGACTGCCAGATTAGACTATGAGGGCAATTTTTAAGAAGGTAGACTAAAGTCATGACATATAGCTAGCAGAATGTCAATTAGGTGAAGAGTGGAATCAAGTTCAGATGTATTCTTCATGGCTATTTAAAGTGGCCCCAGTAAATGGTAAAGTAAAACTCAAGAGTTCTGTGTAATGCTCTTATAGCACTGTTTTTCAACTGACAGCAGCAGAGGGTATTTCTGCAAATTTTCTTTAAAGAATGAAAATTGTAGCTCTTGGCAGTGAAATGTACGAAGCTCTTCATTTGAAATTCACATTTCTGGCTTGGCACAGTGGCTCACGCGTGTAATCCCAGCACTTTGGGAGGCCAAGGTGGGCGGATCACCTGAGACCAGGAGTTCGAGACCAGCCTGGCCAACATGGTGAAACCTCGTCTCTACTAAAAATACAAAAATTAGCCAGATGTGGTAGCAGGTGCCTATAATCCCAACTACTTGGGAGGCTGAGGTGGGAAAATCACTTGAACCTGGGAGGCGGTGGTTGCAGTAAGCCAAGATTACGCCACTGCACTCCAACCTGGGCAGCAGAATAAGACTCCTTCTCAAAACTAAATAAAAATAAAAATGAAATTCACATTCTTTCTTTTTTTCCCCCCGACACAGAGTTTCGCTCTTGTCACCCAGGCTGGAGTGCAGTGGTGCAATCTCAGCTCACTGCAACCTCCGCCTCCCGGGTTTAAGTGATTCTCCTGTCTCAGCCTCCCGAGTTGCTGGGATTACAGGCACGTGCCACCACACCCAGCTAATTTTTGTATTCTTAGTAGAGACAGGGTTTCACCATGTTGGCCAGGCTGGTCTCAAACTCCTGACCTCGTGATCCGTCCACCTCAGCCTCCCAAAGTGCTGGGTTTACAGTCATGAGCCACTGCATCCAGTCTGAAATTTACCTTTTTTTCTAGTTTTCTTTTCCTCTTTCCTACTTCAAAGCATAGGATTTCATCAGTGATGTAGTAGGACATCCTGTTTAGGATAGTTCTGTTCTGAATTCATATAAGTAGCTAGTTCATTTATCTAAGATGTGAGAATTACCATATTATGCCATAGGACCGTGGTATATTCAACAGACTATTTTGTTTCTGGCAGAAATTTTTTTGGAAGAGATGTTTGCCCCATGGTGAATCAGGAGAATATAATTGACAGAAACCTATTTCAAACCAACTTAAGCAAAATAAAAAAAAAGGATATTAATCAGTTCACATAATCTAGCAACAAGGGTGCAGCTGGGCCTCACAGAGATGGCTGGAATCAGGGAGGATTATAGACAGGTCATTTCACTACATCTCTCTCCCTCTCTACCTATTGGCCTGGAATAACTTTTTTTTTTTTTTTTTCCGAGATGGAGTCTGGCTCTGTCGCCCAGGCTGGAGTGCAGTGGCCGGTTCTCAGCTCACTGCAAGCTCCGCCTCCCGGATTCACAACATTCTCCTGCCTCAGCCTCCCGAGTAGCTGGGACTACAGGCGCCCGCCACCTCGCCCGGCTAGTTTTTTGTATTTTTTAGTAGAGACGGGGTTTCACCGTGTTAGCCAGGATGGTCTCGATCTCCTGACCTCGTGATCTGCCCGTCTCAGCCTCCCAAAGTGCTGGGATTACAGGCTTGAGCCACCACGCCCGGCCTGGGATAACTTTTAAACATTCATCCTTGTGTTTTTCTTTAGTGTTTGAATTATTTCTAATGTTCCTTTATCATTTTCCAATGGTGATTTTTCGTGGGAAAAAAAAGACTGGAAGCAAATATGCTATGATGTTAACAGTAGTTAATTCTAATATGAATAGTTACTGTTTCCCCTTTGGTTTTATTCTTTATTTCCAAATATCTGAAAACAAATTCACTATTGCTCTTGCTCAAATAAAGATCTCAAGAAAATTAAACATACATGATTCATATACATCTTTGTTATTCTACTGTGTGATAACCAAATATAACCAGTGGTAATTAAGATGTCTCTTACTAAGTGAAATAAAAGTTTTCATTTTCCTTCATCTTGCTCCTACTTATCCCAAATCAATTTTTCTTAATACCATAGTAATAGCTACCCTTTGTTGGTTGGGCGTGGTGGACCAAAGTTTCTAGAGGTGAAGGTGAAAGTGAAGTAATTGAGAATGCCTACTGCATGTGGGTTCAGTGTTCTTGGGATAAGAAAGCAGGATGGGCCGGGCACGGTGGCTCAAGCCTGTAATCCCAGCACTTTGGGAGGCCAAGACGGGCAGATCACGAGGTCAGGAGATCGAGACCATCCTGGCTAACACGGTGTAACCCCGTCTCTACTAAAAAAATACAAAAAACTAGCCGGGTGTGGTGGCAGGCGCCTGTAGTCCCAGCTACTCAGGAGGCTGAGGCAGGAGAATGGCATAAACCCGGGAGGCAGAGCTTGCAGTGAGCTGAGATCTGGCCACTGCACTCCAGCCTGGGCAACAGAGTGAGACTCCGTCTCAAAAAAAAAAGAAAGAAAGAAAGGTCATCTGTCAGGTTGCTGACTGCTGTTGTAAAGATGATTTGGAATGAAGAAGAGGCACTAAGAAAGCTTCATAAATTGCATACACATACCCTTTTGAAATTTATAAATGATACTAAGGTAAATGGAGAAACCATGACTTTCTTTGGGATTGTTTCCATTTGAACATTTCAGGGTACACGTCAGAGACAGAGAAATCAAAGTTAACATCTTTGATATGGCTGGACATCCCTTCTTCTATGAGGTAAGAAAGCCTTTTTGACAAAAGCTATATCCAGTATTGGTGGTGGTTTGGGGAGAGATCCCAAATTATATGAAACAACCAATATTGATATCATGTGTAAAATTGCATAATTTTAGCTTGATCGTGGCTTGCCTTCAGAGCCTTAAGTTAATAGACACCTGTTGATCTTTTAGGTTATCCTGTTAAATAGTGGTAGGAAATTTCATTGCCAATATTTCAAACATTTCGATAAGACATTTTGACTTTCAGAGGACTTTTGCTTTTTACATCATACTTTAGCCTAAAATGTGAAAAAAAAAAAAAAATTACATTTATGCTTGGACTTAAGAATTCAGTGATGTGACTTCTTTGACAGCAGAGTACTGGAGTGATCGTTCCTATTCATGCGTAGTCATCTGCATTCTTTCCAGAGAAGAAGCTAAAGCAACCACTTGGTTTATTTTCATCTGCTTGCCAGCTCTAAGTAATCCCCACATGAATCTCATGACCATTCTCTTTTGTTTTTCCTTCCTTGGGCTTTGTCATTTTTCCTAAGGAGGTTTTTTACTCTTTTCTGGTTTGGCTGTTTCACTTCTGCCCTTATCTTCGTCATTTCCTTCTCTCTGCTTGCTTTAAGCTTATTTTGCTCTTTTTGTTTTAGATTCTTGAGGTGGGATCTTAGATTATTGATTTGAGACTTTTTCCTTTTTTAATAAATTCATTTAATGCTACATATTTCCCTCTCAGCACAGCTTTGTGTCCCACAAATTCTGAGATGTTGTATTTTCATTTTCATTCAGTTCAATGTATTTCTTTAATTTCCCTTGAGACTTTGTGTTTGACGCATGAGTTATTTAGAAGTGTGTTATTCAGGCCGGGCACAGTAGCTCATGCCTGTAATCCCAGCACTTTGGGAGGCCAAGAAGGGTAGATTACCTGAGGTCAGGAATTCGAGACCAGCCTGGCCAACATGGCGAAACCCTGTCTCTATTAAAAATACAAAAATGAACCGGGCGTGGTGGTGCATCCCTGTAATCCCAGCTTCTCAGGAGGCTGAGGCAGGAGAATCACTTGAACAGGCGGAGGTTACAGGGATCCAAAATCGCGCCACCTCACTCCAGCCTGGGTGAAAGAGTGAAACTCCATTTTGAAAAAGAAAGTGTGTTATTCAAAAACAAAAAAAAAAAACACAAAAAATTGCTGGGCGCGGTGGCTCACGCCTGTAATCCCAGCACTTTGGGAGGCCGAGGTGGGTAGATCACCTGAGGTCGGGAGTTCAAGACCAGCCTGACCAACATGGAGAAACCCCATCTCTACTGAAAATACAAAATTAGCTAGGCATAGTGGCACATGCATATAATCCCAGTTACTCGGAAGGCTGAGGCAGGAGAATCGCTTGAATCCGGGAGGTGGAGGTTGCAGTGAGCCGAGATCACACCATTGCACTCTAGCCTGGGCAAAAAGAGCGAAACTCCGTCTCGAAAAAAAAAAACCACATACACACATACAAAAACAAAAGAAAAAAAGTGTGTTGTTTAGTTTCCAAGTGTTAGGAGATTTTCCTGTTATCCTTCTGTTACTGATTTCTAGTTTGATTCCATTGTGATCAGAGGCTGCCTCAGTGATTATGGCTGCTGACTAATCAGGGTGGTGGTTGATGTGGCAGTTTCTTAAAATAAGACAACAATAAAGTTTGCCACATTGATTGACTTCCTTTCATGAAAGATTTCTCTGTACCATGCAATGCTATTTGACAGCATTTTCACCCACATTAGAACTTCATTCAAAATTGGAGTCAATTCAGTTAAACTCTGCTGCTGCTTTATCAACTAAGTTTATGTAATATTCTAAATTCTTTGTTGTCATTTCAACAATGTTCATAGCATCTTCACTAGGAGTAGATTCCATCTCAAGAAACCACTTTCTTTGCTCATTGATATGAAGCAATTCCTTATTTATTTTTTACTGTGAGACTGCAGTAATTCAGTCACATCTTCAGGCCCTATTTCTAATTCTAGTTTTCTTCCTGTTTCCACCACATCTGCAGTTACTTCCTCCACTGATGTCTTGAACAACTCCAAAGTTATCTGCAAGGGTTGGATTCAACTTCCAAACTCTTGTTAAGGTTGATACTTTGACCTCTCCCCTGAATCACAAATGTTCTTAATGGTATCTAGCATGGTGAATGCTTTCCAAAAGGTTTTCAATTTGCTTTGCCATGCAAATTGAATCACTATGGAAGCTATAGCCTTGCAAAATGTATTTCTTTTTTTTTTTTTTTTTTTTTTTTTGAGACGGAGTCTTGCTCTGTCACCCAGGCTGGAGTGCAGTGGCCGAATCTCAGCTCACTGCAAGCTCCGCCTCCCGGGTTTATGCCATTCTCCTGCCTCAGCCTCCCGAGTAGCTGGAACTACAGGCGCCCACCACCTCGCCTGGCTAGTTTTTTTTGTATTTTTTAGTAGAAACGGGGTTTCACCGTGTTAGCCAGGATGGTCTCGATCTCCTGACCTCGTGATCCGCCCGTCTCGGCCTCCCAAAGTGCTGGGATTACAGTCTTGAGCCACCGCGCCTGGCCTCAAAATGTATTTCTTAAACAGTAAGACTTCAAAGTCAAAATTACTCCTTGATCCATGGATTGCAGAATGGATGTTGTATTAGCAGGCTTAATAAAAACAGCTTTAATCTCCTTGTATATCTCCATCAGAGCTCTTGGGTAACTAAGTGCATTGTGAATGAGCAGTAATATTTTGAAAGGAATCTTTTTTTCTGAGTAGTAAGTCTCAATAGTGGGCTTAAAATATTCAGTAAACTGTGCTTAAACAGATGTGCTGTCATCCAGACCTTGCTGTTACATTTATAGAGCACGGGCAGAGCAGATTTAGCATAATTCTTAAGGGCCCTAGGATTTTCATTATGGCAAATGAGCATCAGCTCATTTAGCCCCTAATAGCTCTGTTAGCCTGTAACAAGAGAGTCAGCCTGTCCTTTGAAGCTTTTGAAGCCAGGCATTGACTTTTCCTTTCTAGCCTTGAAAGTCTTAGATATCATCTTCTTCCATTAGATCTATCTATTCCAAGGCTGTTTCATCTACATTGAAAATCTGTTGCTTAGATTAACCACCTTCATCAATGATCTTAGCTAGATATTTTGAATAATTTGCAGCACTATATCAACATATGCTGCTTCATGTTGCCCTTTTATGTTGCGAAGATGGCTTTTTTCCTTAAACCTCACGAACCAACCACTGCTAGCTTCCAACTTTTCCTCTGCAGCTTCCTCATCTCTCTCAGCCTTCATGGAAATGAAGAGAGTTAGAGACTTGTGCATTAGGTTTTGGCTTAAGAGAAGGTTGAGGCTGGTTTGGACTTCTATCCAGACCACTAACGCTTTCTCCATGTCAGCAATATGCTGTCTCACTTTCTTATCATTCATGTGTTTACAAGAGTAGCACTTTTAATTTGGTACAAAAGGCCCAGCTTTTGGCCAGTTTTCGAAATGCCTTCTTCACTAAGCTTAATCATTTCAAGATTTTAATTTAAAATGAGAGATATGTGACTATTCCTTTTACTTGAACACTTAGAGGCCATTGTATTGTTATTAATTAACCTACTTTCAATATTGTTTTGTCTCATGGAATAGGAAGGCCCAAGGAGTGGAAGAGAGATGGGGCAACAGCCATTTGGTGGAACAGTCAGAATATATACAACATTTATTAAGTTTGCTGTCTTAAATGATCTTATATGTTCATGGTACCCCAAAACACTTAAAATAGTAACAGATATCACTGATCACAGATCATCATAACAGATATTATGATGAAGTTTGAAATATTATAAGTGTTACCAAAATGTGACACACACATAAAATGAACACACACTGTGGAAAAATGGCACTGATAGACTTGCTTGACTTGGGGTTGCCACAAATCTTCACTTTGTAAAAAAACACAATATGTACATACCGTGCAATAAAGTGAGGTGTGCCTGTGTGCCTTACATAGGTGCAATAAAGTGAGGTGTGCCTGTCTCTGCTAGGCCCTGTGGGTGACACAAGGGTGGATACATGAAGATACATGTCTTCACATTTCTTCTAGTGTAGGAGGGAAGACAGCTGGATATGCTACTAACTGTAAAACTGGGCAGGAAGTGATAGCACTATTAGGAGTACAAAACCATATGGTACTCCAGGGGACGTAGAGATTACATTCTGTTTTGCAGGAGTAGGGGGCTGGATGGTGAGGAATGGGACAGAGAAAGCTGCATGAGAGATACAGCATTATAGCCAGGGCTTGAACAATTAAAGACAAAGAGGTGTCTGTTTCCAGATGGAATTAGAAAGGCATGGGGCAGGTTTGGGGAATGAGAGATTACCCACTTTGAAGGTCGGGGATAGTGGGAGGATAAGACTCAGAAGGTTGGTGGAGGACTGATCAGAAACTTTTAACATTGTTTGAGAAAGTTGGAACTTTGGAGAATAGTTTAAGAAGGAAGAAGTTGAAGGGTTTCCTGTGTGCATATTGAATTTGAGATTCCAACAGGACATTCAGCTGGAAGAATCTGGTGCTAATTAGAAATGGAAGTCTGGAACCTCAGAGGAGAGGGCTCATCTTGGAGATTCTCACAGTTGAAACTGTATAAGTGGTTGATGTTGCTGATTTGGGAGGAAGGATTCAAAAAGACAGGAAGAGGGCACAGGACAGGATTTGGGGGATTTTGGTGGTAAGCTGGAGTGGGAGCAATAGAGAGAAGAGGAGTTGGTGAAAGAGAGTTTAAGAGCCTAGGGAATGTAATGTATGGAAGCCAAGGCAGCAAGAGTTTTAAGAAAGAAGAGAGAGCCCATTGTTACTACTGTAGAAGGGCTAAAGACCATGAGTACTGAGGAAGGGGACTGGTGGCTTAGTCATCTTCAGTTCTTTCTGATTTTGTTGGCTTTAACTTTAGGGGATAGCTTCTTAGTTTTCTGTAAACAAATAGGAGCACTTAATATCTTTGGTGCAGATACCTGCCTATGCCCAGAAACCCTACCTGATATGTATAACATGTTTTCATTTCTTATACTACATAGCCTGTGTGGGTCTGAGTACATTTGGGAATTCTGTGAAAAGAATGTATAATATATGGCCTCTGTCAGGGTTCTTTCTGGAACTTTGTCCCGGAAACCCTGTCTGTCAATGCTGCTCCTCACCCACTTAACCTCTCTCTGGCCCTAATGTTTGAGTATGCCCATACTTCATGCTGCTTCTTCCCGGATTTGGAATGAAGCCCAGAGAATGGATGCAAGGAAGGAAGGGGAGGGTGTTAAATAGACATTGTTTTTCAGGCACCGTGCTAAGTACTTTGCCTGCATTATCTCATTTAACCTTCATAATAACCCTGTGAAGTAAGTAGTATTATCCCCATTTTACAGATGAGGAAACTGAGACGCAGAGAGGTTAAGTGACTTGCCCAAGATCACACAACTAGTAAGTAAGTGTGAACCCAGATCTGTCTGACTCCAGAGCCTGTGCTCTTTTCCATTGTATTACACTGAGGCTCTGAGTTTGGAGTTCTAAAGTTGGTGTGCAGACCCGAGAGTCAGGGAAGCTCTGTCTAGCACCCTGGGGGAAGCCAGCTTTGGGATATGATTTATAAATGGCTGTACCCATTGCTGACACTTGTGTCATTTTTGCCTTAAGTTCTTTTGAATTGCTCACTCACCCTCCTAATTCTTCCTAAGAAGAACTTTATATAATTGGTGTTCTTTTAAGGTCTACTAATAATTAAAGACTGATTTCCTCTAGGGAGTGGAACTGGAGGTGGGATGGGGTGGGGCAGGAGGCTATTGTTTTCCATTGTAGGTCCTTTCTATACTAATACATTTTTAGAATGATGTTACTTTGATTCTATAAAAAATCCTCTGAAGACCAGTAGAAACAGATGCAATAGCAAACACTAAGAATACATAAGAGAACACACTTTGCCAGGTTAATGACTATGAGATATATTCTTATAACATCACAAAAACTACGTTTTGTGTATCTGTCCTTTTATTTGAAGGTTCGAAATGAGTTTTACAAGGACACACAGGGTGTGATACTGGTCTATGATGTTGGGCAGAAAGACTCCTTTGACGCCCTTGATGCATGGCTGGCAGAAATGAAGCAAGAGCTTGGACCTCATGGAAACATGGAAAATATTATATTTGTAGTTTGTGCCAACAAGGTAACCCCTCTGGAAATGGTGTGTTCAGGTTTCTAGGGGAAGAGTGGAGCTTTGAGTGTTGGGAAACAAAAAGAAAAGAAAAATTCCTTATTGTATAATATGGGAATCAATAACCTTTCAAAACCTAACGTCCCTAAGACAAAAAGAAAACAGCACAGCAACCTAAAACCTGCTACATCAAGATTTGTGTACTTTTTTTTTTTTTTCCTGGTGCCATACTTGGGGAAGGATGTTTGTGACTGAGTGGGAGCAATGGGTCCTAATAATCACACTCTGACCCGACTGGAGTAGGGGCATTAATTGGGTGATGTGGACTATGGAAAGGTATGAAAAGCAGACTGTGGCCCCAAGGGTATGGCAGATATCATGAAACCAACTTTCACACAACTGAGTAACAGCTGAGTAACAAGGGATCAGGTGGGACATTACAGCAACAGGCATTCGTCCTATTGCCATAGAATATCAGTCTACATTCAATATTAGGTTTTGTTTGTGTCCCTTTGGTCCTGGTAATTTTACATACTAGTGCAGACGTTTACTAAGAATAGCTTTGCCTTAGTAAAGGATTGACAAAGACCCTCACTAGGTCCATTCTAGTAGGACAAGGTTGTAATCTTCTCTCTGCCCCCCGGCCCCTTCTATTTCAGATTGATTGTACCAAACACCGCTGTGTAGATGAAAGTGAAGGACGTCTTTGGGCTGAAAGCAAAGGGTTCCTGTACTTTGAAACTTCAGCACAAACTGGAGAAGGCATTAATGAGATGTTCCAGGTAAGCTAGCATTTTGTCGTTTTAAGGTTTGTGTCAAGGCCACTGTGCCAATTTTTAGTTTAAATTATAGGAAGCAAAAAAGTAATAGGAATTTCTCATTAGAATAAGCTCTTTCTTTTCAAAGAATCTAGTGAGATAGAAATAGAGAAAGGGAGAGAGAAAGGAAGAGAGAGTGAGAATGAGTGATCTGCCTGCTGTCTATTTTAGATGAGACTTAGCTGATCATCAGAATTACCTGAGGAAATTCTTCAAAATACATACCTCTGGGCTCCAGACCTACTGGAAGCTTATGTTGCAGTGGAGCCCAGGAAGCTATATTTTGAAAAAACTCTCCAGGTGATCCTGAAGATCATCAAGTTTAACAGCAGTTATTATACACTGCTTAAGCAGGACAGAGATTTTCTTCAAAGCCGCCTTTAGCTAATTGTATTACATTTATATGCATAATCAAATAGAAGCATTACTGTGGCAAAATTGCCTTGCCACAGCTCGTATAATCCTATATTGTAGCCCACAGGGGTACAGTTAGAGAATAGGAGGCTCTCAGTATAGACTCCAGCCAGTCACACAAAAATAAGGCCTTGCCAATCAAGCAGGAAATGGAGGGAGATGCTCATATTGCAACCTGAATAGATGGCCACTTTAAAAAAACCTACTCATCTTGAGTAATTTTAAGGGAAATAGGCTATTTAAAACAGTAACTTATAAAGTCAGCCCTTAATTATAGATACATTTGGAGGTAAGTGGTAGCATGAATAATGTATTTTTCTTCTTATGAATATATCTGATATTTTGGGAATTTTTAGCATTTCAAATAATATAGTTACACTATAAAGAGTTGTTTTTAATTGTTGAGTGGGATTGTACTTAATCTTTTATGCTGAATTTCCTTCTCACAAGATGTCACTCCTCCTACTAGAAGACAGATTTCTTCCTTGGCTGACAGGTTGAATTAAGCAAAAGTATTTTCTATTTCAAAATGAAATAAAGTTGATGCTGGTTTGCCATGCTTTCTATTCTTTTGAGTACATGGAGCAATGTGAGTTTGTGCTTGTATGTGTATAATAATGATACCTAACCATTTGACTAGTACTTTACCATTCTGGAGAAGTTATACATTTCATCACATGGAGACTTATAACAACAATGTATGGCAGGTATTGTTATCATTTCATATATGAGAGCATCTAAGGGTAGTAAAGTGATTTGTCCAAGGGACATAATTGTTAGAAATGAAATTTTTTTCAGCACTTTAAAGATGCTGGTCCATTCTCTTCTGGCTTCCATTGTGTTTCATGAGATGTTAGCACTCATTCTGACTCTTATTAATCTCTGTGCCTAATGTGCCCTTTTTTCTCCCTGGCTGCTTTCAAGAGTTTCTCTTTTCTTTGGTTTTCAGCAGTTAGAATATGATGTGCCAAGATGTGATTCTCTTCATTTTTATTCTATTTGGGATTTACTGAGTTTCTAAGATTGGTAGGTAGGTGTTTTTCATCAAACATGGGAAGTTTTTTGTTTTGTTTTTGTTTTACTGTTATTTCTTCAGATTTTTTTTTTGGCCACATTCTGGCTCTCTTTACCTTCTTGGCCTCCAATTACATGTATATTAGACCATTTGATTTTGTCCCAGAGTCCCTGAGGCTATATTTATTTTTAATCTATTTTTTCCTGCATTTTTCAGATTGCATAGTCTCTGTTGATTTTACTTCACCACTGACAATCTACTGTTAAATTCACTGAGGGAAGTTTTCAGCTCTAGAATTTGCATTTGGTTCCCAGTATAGTTCTCAGTTCTCTATTAGATTGTCTGCTCACTCATTAAGAGTATATTTTCCTTTACTTCTTTGAATGTATTTTTCTTTACCTCTTTGAAATATTTATAATAGCTGTTTTACAGTCTTTGCGAAGTCCAACATTTGAACCATCTTGGGTTCAGTTTCTATTTACTACTTTTTTTTCCTAACTATGGATCACATTTTCATGTTTCTTTGTATGAATAGTGGTTTTTGATTGAACACCAGACATTGTGGATAACACATTGTAGAGACTCTAGATTCTTTTATCTTCCTCAGAAGACTGTTGATTCTTGATTGAAGACTGTTTAGTGTTGATTTTTGATTCCTCAGGAGGCAGTTTAATTATTGGCAAATTACAATGAACTTGTGTTGACTTGGTTTTTTTTTTTTTTTGCCTTAATAGCAAGGATTTGAAGAAAGCTCAGAGTGTTTCCCAAGCCCTTCTAATTTGACAGGACTCAGCTTCCAAATTCTGTCTCTTTTGCAGATCTTGTCAGCTCTTGGTTTTAGGTTTTGTTAGGATGAGTCTATAATTTTTAGGGCACAGCCTTTCTGTGGTGCCTCAATAGGTGGTAGGGCAATTAATGAGGGGTTAAGGCAATATCTCCACTCTGACAAGGCTAAACCATACTGTTCCCAGGATAGCTCTTTCTGTAGCACCACTAGAACTCAGGATATTGGTTTTGTTCTCAGCCCCATAGCAGCTGTTACCTGGTAAGCCTTGAGTGATCTCACCCTATGCATATTATAGCCCAGCCTTTGGCCACAGACTCATGAGAGACCCCCATATGGACTTGGTGCCCAGCTCTGCACAGCTCTCTTCTCTCCAATGGCCTGCTTTGCAGATTCTAGCCACCTCCTCAGCTCAATGAGACTTGTGTCTGCTCAGACTCCAGCTCTCTGTGACGTGGTCAGGAAATGGACTCCAAGTAGACAACCAGGTGATTGTGGGGCTTATCTCTCAGGGAATGGTCTTGTGCTTGCTGTTGTCTACTACCAACAGTTTTTTTTCCAGTTCAATAGTAGTTGATGGCAGGAGGTCTAGTCCAGTATTCATTACTCTGTCATAGCTGGAACTCAGACATGAAATTTCAACAGGCTTTGGTCTCAATCCTAGTATTCTGTAGCCCACACCATGGCTTGTCTTCTATAACCATGTGTGTGATGAATGAATCCTTGTGCCTTCAGAAATCTATGAATACTCATATTTCAGGCTAACTCATAGGCTAGAAGACAATCTTACTGACACACAGCTAGCAAACATCCATGAACTGTGATCCCTTTTATGTGACTTGTATCTTTTTAGATACATCTTGTATAGAACTAATGGATAAATTAGTCTGTTAAAAAAAAAAAAAAAAAAAAAGACTAACAAGAAGAGAATAATTACAGTATTTTATAAGTAAGTACTTAAAAGTAGTGCTTTCCTGTTGGTTCAATTTAATAAATATTTTCTTTATTTCCTATCTACTTAATAGACATTTTATGTCAGGAAGTAACTTGGTTTTATCTGGTTGATACTGTTAACAAAGAGAGCAATATTAAGATAGACTAAAGCCAAGCTAATACGTCTTGTGTCTTGGTCTCTAGTGGTATTCCTTTGACACCCCTTTTCAGACGTCAAGGCTTCTTGTTAGGTTACCAGGTTGATTGGCTAATACTAGAGGTAAGAAAGAAGAGTCTGAAAGAAAGCTAAAAATTTTAGAAGATAACAAGAACTATAGAAGAATCCAAAAAAGAAGAGGAAGAGATTTTTAAAGAAATTTTTAGAAGAGGAGATATGTCCATTTAAAAGTAGCTGTAGTGTGGTAAATGAGTATTGTTCAGTAATAATTACAGTGTGCACAGAACATGAAACAGGAGCAGGGTCAAAAAAGCTTTCACTTTAAAAAAAATCAGAAAAGTGTAGCCAGGTGCAGTGGTGCATACCTGTAATCCCAGCTGCTTAGGAGGCTGAGACAGGATCACTTGAGCTCAGGAGTTTGAGACCAGCCTGGCCAACATAGAGAGACACTGTCTTAAAAAAAAGAAAACACAAAATTGTAAAAATGGGCAAAGAATATAAAGTTTGCAGAAAAAGAAAAGGCCATAAGCATTTGGAAAGATACCCACTTTCACTTATAATTAAACAAATGCAAATCAAACTATATTACATATATATCAGATTAGCAAAAATTAAGATGTTTGATAATGGACAGTGTTAATGAGGGTATGGAGAAATAGGCACTCTCTCTCACACACACAGTGATGGAATGTAAACTGGTACAGCTTTTTTTGGACAACGGTTGTCAGACTCAAAAATTAAAATGTGCATATACTCTGGCTCAACAGTTCTGCTTTTAGGAATTTATCCTAAAGCAGTGTCCCCACAAGCGTACAGAGATGTATACACAAACACTGTTTGTAGTAGCAAAAAAATTAGAAACAACTGACTTGTCCAAGAATGGAGAGTTGGTTACACAAATTATGGTACAGCCCACACCATACAATACTGAACAGTCATTTAAAAGAACAAACAAAGTCTCTACATGTAGCTATAGAAAGATTCCAGGATGTATTATTATGTGGAAAAAAAATGCAAGGTGCTAAGATGTGTTTAATCTGATCTCCTTTAGTACATGTTGAAAGGTTATGGGTCTGTGTATATACTGGCATACTCATGGTAAATTTTTCTAGAAGGATGCTCAAAAAAAATTAACAACGGTTACCTCCAGGAGAGGAACTTGAGGAGTAGAGAGACACAGTTTTCATTTTACACTTTTCTTTACTGTTTGAATTTTTCTAACAGTGTTCATCTATTACTTTTGTTTTGGTTGGTTGGTTGTTTTTTGAGACAGGGTCTGGCTCTGTCACCCAGGCTGGAGTACAGTGGCATGATCTGGGCTCACTGCAGCCTTCACTTCCTGGGTTCGAGCATCCTCCCACCTCACCATCCAAGTAGCTGGGACTACTGCTTGGGTGGTGCACCACCACACTTGGCCAATTTTTTTTTTTTTTTTTTTTTTTGTGGAGACGGTGGTTTGCCGTGTTGCCCAGGCTGGTCTCAAACTCCTGAGCTCAAGCAGTCCGTGCGCCTCAGCCTCCCAAAATGCTGGGATTATAGGCATGAGCCACCATGCCCAGCTCATCTGTTACTTTTTAACTTCAATTGTGGTTATCTGAAAGTAGGATTATCAGCCACTTTAATTTTATTCCTTATACTTTTTGTGTATTAAAATATATGAATATATATATTTAAATAGTGTAAAAGAAAAAAATCTTCCAAAGTATGTATTTGCTTTATACATGACTTCTAAGAGTTGCTGGAATATATTAAAAGTATTTTAAGTTGATGTTTAAAAAGAATTCCTATTTTCACAAAATCATTTCTACCCTGGGATGTGTTTTCTTCTTGCAGACCTTTTATGTATCCATAGTTGATTTATGTGAAAATGGCGGGAAACGCCCTACCACAAATAGCAGTGCTAGTTTCACCAAAGAACAAGCAGATGCCATTCGCAGAATTCGAAATAGTAAAGACAGTTGGGACATGCTGGGAGTCAAACCTGGGGCCTCAAGGTAAGCACTCTGGGATTCTCAGTGCTGACTTCTATCATAAAGAAAGACCCCATCACCAAAATTATAGGTGCAGTACATCTTCTTCCAGTTGGCTGGAAATACGAAGATGTATGAAAATATATCAGAATGACTCTGTTTCACTGAATTAGCTGAATACCAAAGAGATAAAATAGAGGGCACAGTTGCCCGGTAAGAAAATTGTGTCATGTATGTGCATAAACACCTCGTGAAATGGTATGCTCTGCTTTCATCTGTGTGGAACAAGAAGAGCCTTGAAGCTAATGTAACTTTAAAAAAAAACTAACAAGAGAATTATTCAATCATAGAATGTTAGAGGAGGAAAGCATGTTGGCAATCAACTTGTACAAACATTTCATTTTGTAGGTGGGAAAACTGGGATTCAGTGAGATTAAGCATGTTCAAGAATCTCAGGAGTTGGTGGTATAATTGGTTCTTACCCTGGAACACTATATGTTCAACTGTCCATCTCTAAAGCCCTGCACGTTCCTCATCTGTGTGTGTATTTGTTTGTTTATTTTATTTTTTATTTATTTTTATTTTTGAAACAGAGTCTCACTCTGTCACCCTGGCTGGAGAGCAGTGGTGTGATCTCAGCTCACTGAAACCTCTGCCTCCCGGGTTCAAGCAATACTCCTGCCTCAGCCTCCTGAGTAGCTGGGATTACAGGCACATGCCACCATGCCCGGCTAATTTTTGAATGTTTAGTAGAGATGGGGTTTTGCCATGTTGGCCAGGCTGATCTTGAACTCCTGGCTTCGGGTGATCCAACCGCCTTGGCCTCCCAAAGTGCTGGGATTATAGGCGTGAGCCACCGCTGCACCCAGCCCTCTGTGTGTGTATTTATGTTAATTATTTTATTTAAGTCAAAAGAGTTATTCAGGAAAAAAAATTCAATCACTATTTGTTGCTTGTACAAAAATTAAATTATTATTCATTATGGTTATGTAACTTTCAATGGTCTAATTCCACCGTTACTACACATATTGTAATTTGTGTGTCTTATTTTGCACCCAGACTCCCCCCACATACTTCACCCTTCCTACTTTGTCACCTTGATTCTCACAAAAGAAAAAAGTATGTCTTGAAATTGCCATGTCAGCACCCAGAGCACTACACATCTCTTCTCCATTCTGACCTCACAGCATATCTTCAGGTCCAGAAGGAAAGAGGAGAAGGGAAGGGGAAGACTGTTATTGAGCACACTCATTCACCAGGTGATATTGAGGATGCTCTAAAGCTGTCAGGGGATTCAGATGACCTCATGTGTAAGGCGTAGAGTTTATTGGGATCTTTTTTTTTTTAGTGCTATACTGTTTGGTTTATTGTAGATTTTTAGTGAGTTTTGAAATTGGAAAATGTGTCTTCCTATTTTCTTTTTCAAGATTGTTTGACTATTAAGGATCTATTGTAATTCCATATATATTTTAAGATCAGCTTCTCCATTTACAAAAAAAAATAAATAAGCCAGTAAGGTTTCAGTAAGATTGCACTGAATCTGTATATCCCTATCTTTTAAATTTCTTTTTAGACCTCCATAGTCTCTTTCTGAATTCTTCTTTGTCATCTCCAAGGGATGCTGGCTCTAAACTTAAGAAACGATTACTTTTTCTACCTGTTAGTAGACTGAGAACAATATTCATTAAGAAAGAAGAAACTTTTGGTTCCTTGTGTATTCACTTTGGTTAATTGAAATTTACCAGAACTTACAGGCCCCTATAGGTTTCATATCTTTAACCAATAGAAATATGTGCTTCTTACCTTTGTTCCACTGGGCCTAGCAAACTAATTTTTTATGGCACTAAGTACATTTGGGAAAAAAACCTTAAAACATTTTTTTCTTAAGTTACAGAGAGTTTTGATATTTGTTGAGTGTTAACTGTGTTTACTGTTCTTGAACTTTAAGAAAATCTTCGTCTTCAACAGAATTGATGTATTGTTACATCTTGAGAATTTCTCCTGCTACCTGCAAATCTTGAAAGGCACTCTTAGTGCAGAGGACCAGGTGTAACTACTGACCCCATGTGCACACCCTCTCTCGGGAGGCAGAGTGGCTGGAAAGGCCCTTCCCAGGACTCCCTCGTGGAGAAGAGGGAGGATGCTGTACCTTCCTCAAGGATATGGGGTCTTTGGGACAAATAAAAATTCTGACAATTCGAATTGCTTCAGAGAGGGAGAATGTCATTCTTGTTCGCAAATTATCAAAATTATACATGTAGAAAAACAACATGCAGGGCACCAGGAAGGCCCCCCCCAGAGTAGCCTTCTGAAAGAACAAGGTTCTTGCTAAAACAAGAAAATTCAGGACCCCTCTAAGAGCAGAAAGCAGAAAAGGCCCTAGAATGTATGCCTAAGACTTGGAGGACTGTTAACATGACGCTATGACCTCAGTCCTCCAAGCTGATACATAAAACTTTCCATCATAGCCAAGGTATCAAAGGCCGTCTGATTTGGCGAGCCACATTAGAAATCCTTCTGATAAAAAATAAAGGAGAAAGGCTAGGGCATTTGATAAAGCACCGTATCCATGCTTATAGGATCACTGGAACCCTGAATTACAAAAGGAAGGTGAGAAATAAAACCATCTGGTAGAGACAGAGCTTAATCTGACAGGGGAGTGGCTGGGTACTTAGAACCTTCTGGGAGGCCTGACATCAGATGATGATGACCAGTGGGGACAGGGACAGGTGTATCCAGGCCCCTCCCCAGCCAGTTTTGGCTCTTTGAGGCACTCAGAAGCCTGCAGCTCTCTCCTGGAGCACCGCTGGTTTATAGGAACCGCTGGATTGGAAAAGCACAGCTACTGCTCCTTTCCTCTCCGGATAGTACTGATCTCTGTCATGTTTCTTCTTTGGTCTCAGTGAGCTCATGGTCATTCTGGGCTACCCCTTTCCAGCATCCCTTGCTTACTCAGTGGTGTCACCTTCTTGGGCCTCAGATTCCTCATGACCTTGACCCTGGAGCTCATTTCAGCCCCTTTCCTTTCATCTTCTCCTTCTGGATATTCAGCTCATCATCCACTTCTGCCATTTCTTTCTTTATATTTTATCTTCCCTTGTTTCCTTCCACAAATACCTTAATCTAAACTCTTGTACTCACTCATGCCTGGGTTATGTAACAACCTCCTGTATCCTAACTTCGAGAAACAGTTTTCCCAGCACACACTTGTCATGAAGCACCTACTGTTGTGATTGTTTATCAAGCCCAGGTGTTGGGGTTGTTTTGCTTTCTGTCTGTGCTGTGTTCGGGCTCCATTCCAGGCTGCTGTTGGTTCTCTCCCAGAACCCCTACTTTCAGAAGGCGACTCTGGGTGCCTTCCCTGATGCCCAAGCCCTTATTCTTTCAATCAGCAAAGATATGCTGAGTGCCTGTGAGGTGCCAAGTACTGCCTGTTTTCATCTGATTATTCTTTTACTAAGTGTTTTGTTAGCATTTACATACTTTTTGCATTGTGTAATAATTTTCAATTTGTGTTATAACGTATTATTTATTGGTTCATTGTCTGTTTTCTAGTCCTTTAATCCTGCCTTTGAGAAAGGGTAATAATTTAGGATATGTTCACTGCAAGAGATATGTGTATCGAAACAGCTAACATGCAGTGGGTTGGGCTGACTTTGTTACTAACATAGATCTTGGCTTCTTTTCCCAGGGATGAAGTCAATAAAGCGTATCGGAAACTTGCTGTGCTGCTTCACCCTGACAAATGTGTAGCACCTGGCAGTGAAGATGCCTTCAAAGCAGTTGTGAATGCTCGGACAGCCCTCCTGAAAAACATCAAGTAGAAAGTAGAGAAAAAAGCCACGTGTGGGACTCAAATGCAAACAGACTTTCCCTAGAGGTGAAATAACCAACATGGAGTTTTCCTTCCCAGAATCTCACTGCTCTTTTCATTCATGTGTTGTCATTTGTATATCAGTAATTCAGGTGCCCATTTCATAGACATTTTACTGAGAAATGACCTGCATTTGTATGAAGTGAAGAGAACTGAGCGTCGCTTACTTCATTTCATATTTCTAGATAATCTGATTTTTTTCCTCATTCGTCAGCTCTGTAATTATAGTATCCCTTAGACATTTCACTTGGGGAAATCCACGAGGTTCCTGGAGGTAGGGAAGAGAGGACAAGAGGACCCTTTCACTTTTTGTTTTTTACTGAATTCCTCATCAGAGAAGAAAATAACAAAAATGGAAGCAAACAACATCAGAATCCCTGTAAGTTTGGTGTGACCTTACAGAGAAGTTGCTGCTTTTACGATGAGTTCCTTAGGTGATATTTTAACCATTGATCTGTAATGATGACTCTTGGCAGCCCTTTGGGAGTTTGTAAAATGAGGTGATACAGTTCTGAATTGAGCAATCCTTTATGATATTCACCCTGTTCCTCTTCTGCAGCCACCAGGGGGAGAGACAATACAGTCCTAAGAGAAAAGGTGGTGGTAGCCACAAATTCTAGGTACACTAGCTGCTGCTCATCCTGTCCCTGGATCTGAGGCCTTTCCCTTGCCATAGAAATGGTTGCTGGTAGCAGTAGAGAGCATTGTGTACTTGGGAATGAGGAATCAGACCCCAAGACAGAAGTACTTGCAGGAGCTAGGTGCAGTAGTATCTGTCTGTAGTCCCAGCTACTCAGGCTGAGACAGGAGGATTGCTTGAGCCCAGGAGCTCAAGTCCCACCTGGGCAACATAGTAACACCTTGTGTCTTAAAAAAAAAAAAGATACTTACAAGTCGCACTTGAAGATTATGCACATCGGCAGAGGAAAAGGCCAGCCAAGCTCAGGGCAAGCTTGATGCAGTAGGAGAGACTCCCCGTGAGGCTTAGCCTTTGTCTTATTGCCAGCCTTTGCCACAGGCAGGTGAGAAAGGCAGGGCCACTCCTCAGCAAAGCTGGCCTCTTCTGCACTTCCTCACCAGTCTTGTTTCTTCCTTTTTTCCCCTCTTCCCCTTCCCCTCTTGTGTTTTTTCTGAACCCCACATCTGCCATCGTTTCTCTCCTCTTGAGTCCCTGGCTTCTGGCCACTGCCTCCTCCCTCTTCTAAGCCTTGACCTGAACCTGGTTGACCAGAGACAAGTGTGGATCCTTTGGGTGGCAGTCAGGGGAAATCTCAGGGCCTTTATTGGGAGGAATCTCTGTAATTCCTGTTTGGGCTCCAAATTTCTGAAGAGTAGTATTTGTAAACTATAGCTTACAAAATACATTCTCTGGCCACAGTCTCCTCCTTGGTATACAAGGGATGGATGAAGTTCCCGTATTAGGACTGGCACTCCTTACGGTGCTTATAGAGCCAATCTCACCACTTGACTCATTACGTCATCACTCTTGTTACATCATATTTTTAGCTACAGCCACATTAACTAACATTTTTATATACTTTCAATTAGCTGTACTAATTGGGGCTTGAAAGTATATAAAATCTTCCTATCCTGTGGATTTTAAAAAGCTATCCCATATCGGTAGATATTAAAAAGCATCTACCTTACCACCTAAGAAGAAAAGCCACTCTCTTCCAATCCAAGCCCCTGCAGTCTTGTGGATTTTCCACACAGCAGCTTTTCACTGTATGCCTGTACTCGTGCTGCACTGAGCTTGTCATCAGGAAACCAGAACATTGCTTTATCATAGCACTTTTCATCTTGGTAATATCAAAACAACTTTATAAATGAACTGATTGATATATGTTATTTCTTGCAAGATTTTCCTCTGGCCTTTAACTGGCTTCTGAGGCTACAGAACTCCAACCCAGAGTTCTTCAGGACTTAAATTTTGCTTAAGGAAGGCCTTTATCATGCTGAAAGCACTCAGACATGTCTGCCCTCACAGCAGAATGTAGAAGTCATATGAATGAGGGATCATACATGGTAGTGTTAGCCCAAATTGACGTGACAACTCACTGAATGTGTGGCCCTGTATAAAAGCCGGTGCCGGTTTTCATCACTGTTATTACATAATAGATTGGGAACCTCATTCAGCCGTATTGCACAGATGAGCAATTATAGCAGAGAAAATTCATTAGTGCTTCCACTCACATCCTTATGTGTGAGTTGGTGAAATTTAGCCTGAGCTTGATTCTTAGGTCTTGGGACTCAGTTTCCAACCTTCGTATTAATGCTAAGAATGGCCATATACCACTTCATTTACGTAAAAGGAATAAAATAAGCAAGTTAAGCTTCAGGGTCCTAGAATTTTTCTGACTCCTATAATCCTTCGGCAGAATATGAAGAAATAACAAAGCATGATCTGCAATGGAAAGGTTTTTTTTTTGGCACTAACTTCATGCAAAATTTCACAGACATCTATGCATTAATTTAAATTCTTGGTGCAAATGTGTGCTTTGTAGTTCAACCTTATTAAAAATTCTTCAGCCAGTTAGGATTTCAAAATACATTAGTGAGAGTAACAGCTAGCAGAATAATTACAATGGCTAAAACGTTTTTATAGAGGATCTTGTTTTTCAAAAAAGAATAAAAAGTTTGAATAGCTATTATTAAAGAAAAGCCATGTCTTCAACATCTGAGTCACCAAGAAGTAACACTTTTTAAACTTGTTAGAAATCCCTGGAGGCATTTTAAATTCATCTTCTAACCTACCTAAGCACTTTAAAATACAGGCTCCTTCTGTTCCTCTGTTCCCCTTCATGCCTCCTTTTGAATTGATATCTCAGCTGTCAATATTTCTTTGACTTCAGCATTGTCATTTTATTTCTCTATATCAATGTATCCTTAGTTTTGTTAGCCTGTTAATTTAAAAGTCCAGACTTGGGGGTCATTGTGTTGCTACCCAAGAGAAAATGCTATGGTTCTATAGATTGCACATCATTCTTTAAGGCATACATTTACCTCAGGAAACTTACTCTAGTATGTTCTCATATACTGAATTCTCAACTGAGTAATTATTTCTTTATACCTATAAACTAGTACCTAATTCACTGTTAGTTAAACGAGCCATAGATAAGGCAGCTAAATTTCTGAAAGATAGCCAGAGTAAGTAAGCAGCCACTGCAAGCTCTGAATCAGTTTCAAAAAAAAAGAAGAAAAAAAAAAAAAAGGAGCTGCGCCCCATAGAACAATGACAGCATCACAAGGGGAAGGGAGGGATTTTGCCAAAAGTTAGAAAGGGTGGAGCTGTAAGCCATGTGCATGGTGCCTTTGACAGTGACAGTGCCCCCTTACAACTAATTCCACTAGGCATGGGAATGTCGCCTCCTTTGCCACTGTACCCCATCAAGCTTACTCTGAATCAAATTTTTGTAAAACTTGAAAATGAACTTAGCTGCAAAATATAGCTAACCACCTATCATTGCAAGCTTTGCAAAGCAAAGAGAGGTTCGTACTTCTCATAATTGGTATTTAGCACAATTGTAAGACACAGTTTTACTGTTTGTTCATTGTTTTTTTCCATTAAACTTTTCTAGAGAAGACAAAAGCTTACACTTCTGACATGGATAAGTGAGATGGTGTCTAACGAGCAGTGCAATATTAGGCGGTGCAATAGAGGCCCTGTTGGCGAGATGAGTTTTGCTGGAGAGCTGGACGGTGTTGGTTAGCTTCCTGCATTGATTGCCCCTGGGCATTCTTCCCCCTTAACTGTGAAAGCAGAGTCTATAAACTCTTTACTCTTACAAGGTAATTTACATATTTTCTTTCTGTTGAAATAACTGAAAATGTTAAATCTACCAGTTGTTTATGTCTTGTAAACAGAGTGTCATATGTATTTAAGTTGTGTATTTTTATAAAGTAAAGCCAAATATCAAGTAAAGCCACACTGGTCTGTGGGCTGCATTTATTTGTAGAAACACTGGTCTTTAATGGAAAACATACTAAGCTAGAAGCCAATCCAGTTCCTCACCAACTGTGACCCTCAGTAAGACATTCCTGAGCATGGCCCACCCCTCTTTCAGGGGAGCTACTCTGTCCTCTTCATCCTGCTAACATGGTCTAAAGGGGAGACGTTCAAAATGTTCAAGGTCTTGTTTTTTTTTTTTTTTTTTTGAGATGGAGTCTCACTCTGTCACCCAGGCTGGAGTACAGTGGTGTGATCTCAGCTCACTGCAGCCTCTACCTCCCGCGTTCAAGCAATTCTCCTGCCTCAGCCTCCCAATTAGCTGAAATGACAGGTGCCCACCAGTACGCCTGGCTAATTTTTGTATTTTTAGTAGAGATGGGGACAGGGTTTCGCCATGTTGGCCAGGCTGGTCTCAAATTCCTGACCTCAAGTGATCCACCCACCTCGGCCTCCGAGAGTGCTAGGATTACAGGCGTGAGCCACTGCTGAGCCATTGCGCCCGGCCTCAAAGTTCAAGTTCTTTCCGATCTTTCTTCCCTGGTCACAGACACTCGTCCACAGGACAGGAATGTGACCCCAAATAGGTCACATAGGTGTCGCTCCCTAGGATCTCTCTAACTGGAGCTAGGAAGATATTTTCTCTCAGGAAAGGAAGAAGTCCCAGTGATGCTGACAACCTTGATTCCAACCTCATGGGAAAAAATTGAGAATGAAGCAGACATCCAGCGAGAGGCAGAGTCCTGATGGTTTTCAGCCTTGCCTTCTAGTCCTTGAGGGAGGGCCCATGAGCTTGTTTGTCAAGCTCATCAGTCACCTCAGAGTCCTTCCACTCGTTTACTGCTTCAGTTTAGTTGGGATTGCTTTTTGTTACCTGCAGCCTAAAGAATGTTAGAAAATAAAAGCCAACAAGGATCATAAGCAGGGATGAGAAAGCTATGGTCAATAACATTTAACAAGTGTAACATTTTATATATTAAAATATATCTAATTACTTGGTTTTTCTCAACTGGGGTGTTTGGCTGCCTTTTTTTTTTTTTTTTTAACCAACACTGACAGCGTTTTATTTCAAACTCTGATCCCTGCCCTGTGATTACAAAGAGGATGCTGCTGGTTCTCTCTCACAGTCCCTGCTGTGGAAAAAACTGGTATCCAATGTTCTCTGAAACATACTGTCTTTCATCTAGACTCAGAAGCTTGACATAAAATTTAAAAAAGAAGAGTGTACATGGCCATGTTATACCTGCCAGCTGCTAGGGCCCAGCCATCAGCCATGGTTGCTGAGGATGAGACTACTGAAAAGACCTGAGCAGGATGGGAGAGAACAAAGGTAGTTCTTTCTATAGCATGATGGGAATGGGAGACTTCAAAGCTTCCAGCAGCCTCATCACCCAGGCTTCACCCCAGAAGTCATTTTTGTCATCAGGCTAGCTGAGGCTTCTGGGCCTCTCCTTGTGCCTCTTCATATTCTTCTGGTTTCAGCTGAGGGCCAGGGATCATCACCGTCTTAAGGATGGGCTGCTTAGGGGGTGCCCATGGGGGAACGATCTTGCTATGCATTCTCCAACTTCCATATGGGTTTGTCAACTGCTTTTCGAATACAACATACTCCAGGACATCCTTGGGTACATCTTCCTGTCCATACATCAACCGGCCAAACCGGTCATAGATGGCCAGAGTCTGCCGGGTGTGCATGCGTACGGTGACCTGGCCGTACACGTTGCCCTGGTTCATCATACTTGAACAGCGAACTTGAACAACATGGAAGGGCTCTGAAGATTCCACAAAGCTCCAGCGGACGGTCTTATATTTGATGTCCCAGGTCATGTCTGGAAAACAGTGTTCAGTTACCAAGGTATGAAGTCGGTCATGGTCTGAGTTGTTGAGACAAAGGTGAGCTTCAATAAAGATATCCTTAGCTTTTTCAGGGAAGTCCTTTATTTTAAAATTGGCATCATAGTCTTTTATCCTCTGGATTGACATTTGCGATGCCATAGTCTTCTTCATTCGTTCAGTTCTCTGTATCAGTCCCTCCTTTGAAAGAGATGATATGCGTGCATCACCCTCAGGAGGAACATAGGCATCAAATATACCAGCTGTACAGGCCAGATGTATGGGACGGTCCGATTTTTCTGGAGGAATAACCAATCTTGCTTTCCGGGCATGTTCCATAAACTCTTTTTCTGTTTTAAATTTAGGTTGATAAACAGGAGATGTGAAACGTTTTTTAGTTCTTACTGGAACTATAGCTGAGGACTGAGTCACCAGAACTGGCCTTGAGGTATGAGGGCTGCCATCTTGTTCCTGCAAAGGCCGCCGGGAAGTGGCCGCTTTTTAAACCAATAACCAGTTGTAAATGGAAAAGAAAAACTGGACTTACTCAATTTGTTTCAGGGTCAATTTAAGATGCAAAATTATCTGGCTTTTTAGTTTCCAGTTGATCGATTGCCTATCGAGGGCACCTGTAATTTCTTAAATTTTTAATCAAACTTTATTGTTGAAAATGTTCATTCACCAGCCGGGCGCAGTAGTTCATGCCTGTAATTCCAGCACTTTGGGAGGCCGAGGTGGGTGGATCACGAGGTCAGGCATTCGAAACCAGCCTGGCCAACATAGTGAAACCCCGTCTCTACTAAAAATACAAAAAATTAGCTGGGCATGGTGGCCGGCACCTGTAATCCCAGCTACTCTGAAGGCTGAGGCAGGAGAATCGCTTGAACCTGGGAGGCAGAGGTTGCGGTGAGCCGAGATCGCACCACTGCACTCCAGCCCGGGCGTCAGTGCGAGAGACTGTCTGAAAAATATATATATATATTCATTCACTATGTATTTACTGAGCACCTACCATGTGCCAGGCCCTTTTCTAGGCGCTGGAGATCTAGCAGAGCGCAGAAGTGACAAAAATCCCTGCCCTGTGGAGCTTACAGTCTAGTGTCATTTTTTTAAATTTGTGTTTTTTGAAGAGTTTCTTTTTTTCTGTAATTTATTTCTCAAGATTGCATTTTTTAGAAATCTTCAAGATACAATTTCAGAATTAATACTCATTGCTACTATATACTGAAGATCATGTAGGTTGTTAAATGCTTTTATTTATTTTTTTGAGAGCTCAACCATTATCATCATGCCAACCTCAGTTTTTCAGGTTGGCCTAAAGGAAATAGTTCCGGCCGGGCGCAGTGGCTCACGCCTATAATCTCAGCACTTTGGAAGGCCAAGGTGGGGGCGGGGATCACTCGAGGTCAGGAGTTCAAGACTGGGCTGACCAACGTGGCGAAACCCCCGTCTCTACTAAAAATACAAAAATTTGCCGGGGGTGGTGGTGAACACCTGTAGTCCCAGCTACTAAGGAGGCTGAGGCAAGAGAAGCACTTAAACCCAGGAGGCAGAGCTTGCAGTGAGCTGAGATCATGCCACTGCACACCAGCCTGGGTAACAGAGTGAGACTCCGTCTCAAAATAAAATAAAATAATAAAATTAAATTAAAGGAAATAGTTCCAACCATTTCGTTAGGGATTTCTTTATATACAAGTTTGTATATTCATAATGAAAGATATCAACATATTCTTCTAAAGCAGTTGAAAGTTGGGTTCATTTTAAGGGAAAATATCTAAAATCTAAGTTTGTTGTTTTAGTTATATAAACAAATATGTACCATAATATCACCTCGTTAAAATTCTGGTCAGTTGACTGTTCTAAATGCTATGACTTGAAGAAAATATCTCCTTGCATCCAAAACCAATTCGTTGGTAATTATAAAATCAGCAGCTGTAACTCATGAACGCATTTATATTAGGAAGAGAATGTAAAAATCTGCTATGATTAAGAGAAATTAAGATGAGAGGGTCTTGTGTCCTCAGATGTCAGGATGTAAACATTCTGCTAGTTTTGGAGTATGAGAGAAAAAAAGTTAATTGAATAAATACTGAAGAAAGAAAGGATCTTTGTGGTTCAAAAGGAAAATAAGGCCAAGTACGGTGGCTCACGCATGTAATCCTAGCACTTTAGGAGGCTGAGGTGGGTGGATCACCTGAGGTCAGGAGTTCGAGACCAGCCTGGCCAACATGGTAAAATCCCATCTCTACTAAAAATACAAAAATTAGCTGGGAGTGGTGGTACATGCCTGTAATCCCAGCTACTGGGGAGGCTAAGGCAGGAGAATTGCTTAAACCTGGGAGGCAGAGGTTGCAGTGAGCTGAGATCGTACCATGCACTCCAGCCTGGGCGACAAGAGTGAAACTCTGTTTCATTAAACAAAAAAAGAAAAGAAAATAGAACAAACTGTCTTCCTTCTGACTAGCAGGGAGCAAACAGAAAAGCCCCAAGTCAGTGGTTGTCAACTGTTTTTTTAGTGACTGAACCCTGTATTTCTAGTAAACTCCAACATGGGATCCCTATATATTAAAGAGCTAAAAGCAACATTTTATTAGGACAAATCTGTAAGTTCACATTGGTAACTTCACCCCTTCTAGAAGAAGCAAATAGGCAGTTGTGCCTCCTGAGGAAGATGGCAGGGTTTAGATCTGAAGATGGTAATCTCTCCTGCTCACAGATGCTGGTGGAGGAGAGCACCTTGCCCAAGAAAGTGAATCGTATTCAAGGACACTGGGTTAAGAGCTTTTGCTGGGCCTTGTGCTGAAGGCAGTGTTAGGCAGAGGCTCTGTTTAATACTGCTTCCTGATGAAATTTTAGCTCTGAGGGAAGGTACTCCGGCATTGTGCTGTGAGGCAGAGAGCTAAGCTGCTCTTCCAAAGAAATGAACAAGACTCCCGGAGGCTGGGGACTGCCTAAAAGAAGAGAAAGATTTGATTAGCTGGAGTAGAAGACTGGAGTCTTGAGAAGGGTAGTTAGAAAGATGCTAGATGGTAGAAATTATGAGATATTAAATCACCTTAGACAGCCAAAGAGGGCCGGGCGTGGTGGCTCACACTTGAAATCCCAGCACTTCGGGAGGCCGAGGCAGGCGGATCATGAGAGGTCAGGAGATTGAGACCATCCTGGCCAACATGGTGAAACCCTGTCTCTACTAAAAATACAAAAATTAGCTGGGCATGGTGGTGCATGCCTGTAATCCCAGCTACTCGGGAGGCTGAGACAGGAGAATAACTTGAACCCGGGAGACAGAGGTTGCAGCAAGCCGAGATCGTGCCACTGCACTCCAGGCTGGTGACAGAACAAGATTCCAGCTGGAAAAAAAAAAAAAAAAAAGTGAAAGAATTGAGTACAGTGAATGGAATAAATGTTAAAAGAAAAAGAGAGAGAGAGAAAGAAAGAAAAAGAAAGTCAAAGAGAAGTTCCAGAAATAACCAATGACTCTTAAGAATATGGATGTCTTTTATTTTTATATTGTTATCCCTGTTTTACGGATGAGAAAACTGAGATTCAGAGAGATTAAATGCCTCATCGGAGGCCACACAGGAAGCTATTCATGCAGGGAGAGGTGGCTTACACCTGCAATCCCAGTACTTTAGAAGGCCAAGACACAGAGGATTGCTTGAGCTCAGGTGTTCAAGATCACTCTGGGTAACATGGTGAAATCCTGTTTCTACAAAAAACACAAAAATTAGCCAGGCATGGTGGCACACGAGTAGTCCCAGCTACTCGGGAGGCTGAGGTGGGAGGATGACATAAGCCTGGGAGATCAAGTGAGCCGTGATTGCACCACTGCACTCCAGCCTTGGGGGCGGGGGAAGAAGCTATTCAAACCCAAGACTGCCCATTTTCAGAACCCAGCTTCCCACTATATACTATCAGGCTCAAGATCCAAATTTTAAAATATTCTGCTTCCCACTTGTAAGTCATATTGTACCTGCTTTACCAGGTTGCTTAGATTGACATAAAGATATATATATATATTTTTATTGAAAGGGAGTTTTACTCTTGTTGCCCAAGCTGGAGTGCAATGGCGCGATCTTGACTCACCACAATCTCCACCTCCTGGGTTCAAGCAATTCTCCTGAAGAGGTCTATATACTTTTAAAAGACCACCACAGACAATTTTCCTCATCAAATCCTGCATGTATGCAGAGGAATGACGGAAACTTCCTTCTGAGGTGTGCCCAAACCAAGAAAGAGTTAACATGAGTGCTTTAGAATATGGAATTTGGTGGATGTACTTACTATGTTTTCTTTTTTTTTTGAGATAGAATCTCACTCTGTCGCCAGGCTGGAGTGCCTCTGTCGCCAGGCTGGAGTGCAGTGGTACGATCTCGGCTCATTGCAACCTCCGACTCCCTGGTTCAAGCAATTCTCCTGCCTCAGCCTCCCAAGTAGCTGGGATTACAGGCATGCACCACCGCACCCAGCTAATTTTTGTATTTTCAGTAGAGACGGGGTTTCACCATGTTGGCCAGGATGGTCTCGATCTCCTGACCTCGTGATCCGCCCATCTCAGCCTCCCAAAGTGCTGAGATTACAGGCGTGAGCCATCACACCCAGTCTATGTTTTCTTTCTTTTCTTGCTTTCTTTTTTTTAATTTTTTTTTTTTTTTTTTTTTTTTTTTTGAGACAAGGTCTCACTCTGTCACCCAGGCTGGGGTGCAGTAGTGCAATTTCGGCTCACTGCAACCTCTGCCTCCCCGGCCTAAGTGATCCTCCCACCTCAACCTCTTGAGTAGCTAGGTCCACAGGCACACGCCACCACGCCTGGCTAAGTTTTCCTATTTTTTGTAGCGACAATGTCTCCCTGTGTTGCCCAGGCTGCTCTCGAACTCCTGGGCTCAAGCAATCTACCTGCCTTTGCCTCCCAAAGTGCTGAGATTACAGGCATGAGCGGTCATGCCTGGTCACTTTTTTTTTTTTTTTTAATGAAATTTTAAAGTCTTATGGGACCTCTAATGCCTCCAGAATGGCTTGAAAATCATGTCTTAAGGGACCTCCACCCAGGCCAGTAACTGAGAGTTAAAGAACCTATGAGGCAGGAGATAGGGAGAGACCCATTCTAAGGGTTTTGTTTCTGAGTGATTTTCATGTTCCTAACATTCTTTTGTCATAGTGAAAACCCAGGAAGCTCTAAAGGGGCTGTTTCCCGCCCCATCCTCGCCCCCAGAAGTGGCCAGGCATTTTGTGTTAGAATCACTAGCACTATACAAGGAAAAGGTGGTTTGTATTCACCAGACTCTAAAGCTTGTCTCCAGGAAGTGCAATTTAGGGAATGGGGTTAGGATAGTTTCACTTTTCGTCCAATCCTGTCTCTATTGTTTGAGTTTTCCCAATGAATGTCAACTACAGTGTACTTTGGTCATCTAAAAACTATACAAATCCAAAAGCTAAGCATAGCACCAGTTTTTTTTTTTTAACTCACTCTGAAGCTGTTTGTGGGGACCTCTTATAG